GTCACTAATTTTGAACAATTCAAATTTTAAATTTTAGAAAATGACAGCTTCAAACCTGATTTTCAAACACTAAATGATTTCAGCTGGATGTTGCAAATGGTAGTCTCACACACATGCATAAATGTAGTCTCACACACATACAAAAATATGTAGTCTTACACATGTACATAAATATATAGTCTCACACATATGTATAAATGAAGTCTTACAAACACACACTTACACAAACACTCCACGTTCAACAACTAGCTAGCTCGCTGTAACGACTTTTCCCTTGACACATTTTTGTTCCCATGGCAATATGTCTTTGGGGAGGTTCTTTTCCACAACACTGATCTTCTTAGGAAAGTCTATGAATTGCGGCATGTCATCGTAGTTATTGTAAGCTTCAACATCGTCCACGCCATCAACTCAATAATATGCTGTTTCGGAGGCAACCACGTGCTTTGTCTTCTTCTTCGGGGGAGGTTACTTTGTGGGTCAGACATATAGAAAACTTGTGCGACACGTAAAGCGAGCACCCAAGGGTCATCTTGGTAGCCTAGATTCTCGAGGTCCAAGACTCTCAATTCGATCTCGTTTAGTTGGTGTTGTTTGATCCAGTGGCATCAAAACAGGGCCACCGTTATATCTCTTCCATAGTCAAGTTCTCATATCTCTTCAATGATACCAAAGTATTGGATCTTTTGCCCCAATCCATCGAGAGCATCTATTCGAATGCCGCTGTTTTGGTTCACATATTTATTATCGTTTGCGTGGGTATAGTATGTATACCCATTGATGTCATAAGCATTCCAAGATGTCACTTATCTCGATGGCCCCTCCGCCAACCTACTGATGGTAATAGAGTCTATGGTTTCTCCAGGCGGTATGTTTTGGTCCTTCAACCATGTAGTTAGTCGTTGCTTGTGTTGTTTCATGACCCAATCATCCGAACGGCTATTTCTCTCCGCCATAATGATAGCCAAGTGTTCATCAATGTACGGTTGCATCGGGTTGTGTACTCTGAAGACATCGTGAATGCGCCCGACTCACCTCTTTGTAATCATGGTCGATGAACACTTTTCTACCGGTGCCCTTCCTAGCCAGAATCCTACCCTTGTGACGAGAATCGATGGTTTACCAATCCCTTTCATAGAGCCCTACTTTTAGGTACTCTTGAACCGACATGAACCGGTCAGAGGGACCACATTTCATCAAGTAGCGACTTCTTGATCTGTGAACCTCTATCATGGAGCCCTAGGTATGCTCGATTATGCACCGTATCAACTTAGAACCGACATGAACCTTCGTGAGAGGGACCACATTTCATGCAAGTAGCAAGGGCCCATTGCAATAGGTGAAACATGTCGATGAACCATGTGAATCGTGAGATGTGGCATTATATAAAAAAGCAGGAGATAAACACATCTCTAGTTGGTTTTGTATTTTCATTAGCACGCTTACGCACTATGTCTTTCCGACTGTCTCCACCACAAATTCATGTAGGTCACTTAGACTCTTGCTTGCCAATCGCCTTCTAGTGAGATCTCAAAGACATTCTTACGCAAAAGAAGTAGCATCAACATGCGGTGATGGCCATTTTCAAGAACTCGGCTTTATAGCCGCCGATTGCAATAGGTAGAATGTTCACATGATCACATGGCAATCGTGAGATAAAATTTGGTGCAGTACTTGTGTTATTGACAAGTCCTTCATCGACACTAGCTTCTTCACATTACCATCCAAAACCAGCATCCCATCTTTTTGATCCCCTCGGGAAAGTACATATAGCTCTCTTCTAGTAACCCGGTGTTACATATGAAGTGAAGAACACACATCTGCTCCCCATGCCTCCATAGCCTCTCCATTTCTTGCATCAAAGTAAGGAACATTTTCATTAGCCTCGTTGTAGGGGCGTAAATAAGAATAGTGAGGGTGAAGTTGTGGCATCACGTTTAGCTATCACCATGTCTTTCCGTGCTTTGTGTTTCTCATCAGGGTGATCATCCACCTTATGCGCCATCATCCCATCCTTTGACTTGCTTGTGTCTATCAAGGTAGCAATGAGACTCTCAAAGACATTCTTACGCACATGCATAGCATCAATGGCATGGAGGACCTCCAAGCTGAGATTCGCCAATAAGACCCTTCTTATTCCTCTTTTTCCCCATGGAGGCTTTGTCCCCAAAGAAGATCGATTGTTTCTTGAAAATGCGTTTTCGATGTTGGTTGGGGCATGCATGGATTTTTTCAACCCCATTGTGCTTGCTATCAATAGATCATTGAAACTACGGTCGACCAACCGTTACTTAGCCTTCGGGATGAGCAGCTCAAGCACAAAGCGTAGCAATGTCCAATTCGTTCCATCTAGATTCTTATTTCCATAGCTCCACCATCATTATTGGCACCACCGTGTACCATCCCAACCACCGGCATCACCACCTTGTTCATGCCAAACTCAAAATCCATTCGTGCATCAAGCTCTGCTGAATATTGGGACGGGGATTCTATGGTTTCGTCGTCAGATTCCTCCTCATCCTCATGTTCGCAATAATTTCACCATGATAAATCCACTCTTGTGTAGTCCTCAACAAATCCTTGTATAATCAAATGTGATATGATGATAGTCACATCGTCTCTCTGGTTCTTGGGGGGGTTCTTAATCTTTCAATGTCGTTGCATGCTTTTTTATGCTTTAATAAATTTATCCACCTCTTCATAAAATCTAAAGAACAATTTAAATGAATCAAATTAATGGTACTCAGATATATGTGACTTGTCTTTAAGAATTACATGGTTCCTTAGGTAAACTATCTATAAATAATTAAAATACATATTTTTGGATGCATCCGGTACACCCATATAGTACCATCCAAGCAAAACCAAGTCCATCCCATGAAATTTTCCTTTGATCTATCTACATGCACATGAAACATGCAAACTAATTGTTCACTAAAATCAAGAAACATGGACCAAATAAGGGTATGATCTCTCTAATTTACCCTAGTACATTTAAAACTTGAGTCTAATTTGGTGATTGAGCTCAAACACCTACAAAGAGAGACTAACCAACCATTTGTAGTATTTTCTTACCTTCTACAACCTCTCCACCAAAGGATCTGAGACCAAAACCTTCCCTTAGTAGAGCAATTTTGGGAGGTGCCCAAGGCCTCTCCACCTTTCTTTCACGGGTTGGAGTGAGTGACCGAGGAGGAAGAAGGTGTTGCATTTATTTTATGTGTGAAAAATGGTGATTGAGCCGCCTCTCAGAGACCAAAACCTTCCCTTAGTAGAGCAATTTTGGGAGGTCTTCTCTCCACCTTTCTTTCATTTGTAGGAGGCGGCTCCATCACCCTACAAATCGTAGCTATATATACGGGCATTTGTAGGTGGCTCAATCACCAACGCCTCTACAAAAATTCGAACCGCGGGTGATTGCTAAAAATTATTTTTTTACGTAGTGTCACCCCTCTATTTCAACTTTTTTTTACGTAGTGTACCCTCTGTTTCAACTTTTTAGTACGACCAAGGTGCGCATCCACTGTGGATCTTCTTCACCAAAGAATGGGTTTCCTCGTCTCCCGCACACCAAGTCATCACGCCGCTTATCCACTCCAAGCTTGAAGAGTCAATGGTCCCGAAAGGTCACCAAGACCTCAAGCTCAAGATTATTATAGGGGCACACAGGCCTCCAATGCACTCAAGCTCTAAGAAGAGCACTTTCCTCAAATAAATGGTCACTAAGAAGAGCACTTTCACAATGGTTGGGAAAGCACTATTGGTACTTGAAGGTACTTTTATTTTTCTATTGTTTGGCCATTTATTTGAGAAAGATTATTTATAGAATTTATTTTTTGTCATTGAGGATATATTAGTAATTGTTCTTTTGCTTTTTCTCTCGCTAAGGCACTAAGCACCACATGGTTCCCTTGCACGGAGCCATGTTAGTTTTTTTTCTGATTTCTAAATAATCTGTCGATGCCATTGACTTCCGCTTGCTCCAGCCCCTTATTGAAGAGAATGAAATTACAATTTTACCCTTAACCAAATATATTAATATTAATTAAATAATAATCCAAATCTAGCACCATCTATTTTGGTACCATCCTTACCTTTTTGTAGTTCTGAGTATTTTCACATTTGATGGCTTTTTTCATTTGATTTGAAACGTTTTTTGGACTAAATATATGTCTTTTTTATATTTGTTTTTTATTAATTTTTCTAGCCAATAGACACATAGAAAGCTACGGTTCTCGATGAAATCAAAAATTTTATTGTTGAAAATTTTCAATCAAGATCATTTGGGGGCCTAATATTCATTCTATACTTGGTCACAACAAGTGGTATGTCGCGTGGTGGTAGAAAGGGCTTGCCCAAGACAAGAGGTCATGGATTTGAATTTTAAGATTAGAAACGCGTGTATTTATATTATGTGTGAAAATTGCATGACTTTTTAATTAGGGCTGATTTTCAATTTCTACAAATGGAAAAATATTTGTATGGGCAGGGCACGTTACCGACTGCTACCTGAAAACTGTTTTCTGTTGTATGAAAGTATTTTCTTTTCCCAAACATCATTTGTACTTGACTAAATAATCAATGCTGTGTGAACGTGTCCACACGACTTACTCAGTAATTCTCTGCATGGCTTCTTCACACTCCATGGCTTGCTGTGAAAGTGTGAAGTGTGATTATTCACTTAAATGCAAGAGATGACCGCGATGCAAATCACCTATTTATAGCTTGCTGCGATAGTTGGTGTTGTGTTGCCTCATGGTGAGGAGCTTATAAAAAAAAACCCATCTCTCCTAGCCTAGCTACTTGCTCTGTGATGTTGAAGTCCAACTTGGTTGTTCAGGCAAGTTTGAGGTGCCATGTCTCACTCAGTATTTAGCTTGTAGTACTACTTTAATTGCAATCTTCCACCTAACTCAGCTGATATCTCTTATCAGCTTCAGTTCTTCCCATATTTATTCAACAGACGTACTGACAGAAGTAGATTTGGCAAGTCGAAGCACATGGGTTCCAAGGAAGGACTCCCCCGTACCGTCGTCCACTTCTTGCTCCTAATTGTCTGCATAGCCAGCAAATGTCTAGCAGCATCAGGTCTGAATTCAACCCAGATGGTCACCCTCAAGGTTGATGCCTCACCAAAGCTTGCTCGAAAGATCCCTGATACATTCCTTGGGGTGTTTTTTGAGGTGATGCTGTTTCTTGCTATGCACCAAGTTTTATGGCTTAGAATCGGATCAATCCAAGTATACATGATCCCCTAGCTGTGTTCTTGGCTTCTTGCAATAACTAGCCAGGTTATACTGCAGGAGATGGGCCACGGAGGAGCTGGTGGAATATGGGCAGAACTTGTTAGTAACAGAGGTAATTTAACTATATATCAATGATTGAAGCAGAACTGTCAGATCAATCATGTATACTTGGGCTTCAGAAGTTCATTGTACAGCTATGCTCAGAATTTGAGGTTTACCATAACCAGCTTCTGAATTTATTGCTTCAGGTTTCGAAGCAGGAGGCCCCAATACTCCATCGAACATTGACCCCTGGCTCATCGTTGGAGACGACTCCTCCATTTTTGTGGAGACTGATCGTTCCTCATGTTTCAGTCGAAACATAGTCGCTTTGAGGATGGAGGTCCTCTGCAATGACTGCCCAGCTGGTGGTGTTGGCATTTACAACCCAGGATTCTGGGGCATGGTAGTGTTTTCCCCTAATAACACCTGAGTGCTCTGATATTTCATTTGGTTTTCTCACGAATATTCAGTATATTTTGATTTTCTATTTCATACTTTTTTGGGCTATCATCAATAATGCTAACGTTTGTACTTCCAGAACATAGAAGATGGGAAGGCATACAATCTAGTTATGTACGTTAAGTCGCCAAAAACTACATGCTTGACAGTTTCACTAACAAGCTCTGATGGGTTGCAAAGTCTGGCTTCAGTTAACATTATGTCCGTTTCTTTTTCTCAGTACTCTGTTTGAACCAGAAGAGGATCTTTGACTATTCACGTCTCTTAAAATATTGCGTTCTTCAGAGTTGCAGGGAAGTCGAAGTGGATAAAGGTGGAGAAGAAGTTGGTTGCTAAAGGAACTAACAGAACCTCAAGGCTTCAAATAACATCTAAGAAGAAAGGAGTTGTGTGGTTTGACCAAGTATCACTCATGCCTGCAGACACATACAAGGTCTATTATTTTTTTGTTGGATCTTGATACTGAAACTCTGAAAGACATAAACCAGAACAAATAGGAAGTGTAAACTTTTAATAATAACACATATAGATGAATATTGTACTAATTAAACCTGAAAATATGATGCAGTGGCCAACTAGTTCTGCCTGGCACAAGAAAAATATGGTCCCCAGTAACACAAAAGGGATTTGCTTCATGCTCTTTTTTTAGTACTGCTAATAATTCAGTCATGTGCCATGAAATCTTGGACCAGAGTGACCTTGATGTGTTCAATATGTTAGGACTTACTTTCGGAAAACAAATGTATGTTAGGGCTTACTTCATCTTCATAGAAACAAATTCTGTTTTCCTCCTATTTATCTGAGTATTTAACAGCCAATTTCTCTACATGTACAGGGACACGGTTTTCGTAACGGACTCGTATCCATGCTTTTGGATTTAAAACCACGATTCTTAAGATTTCCTGGTACGCTTGTTTTGATAGAGGGTTCTTGATGATTGGACACATATGAGATTTACTCTTACATATATGCTCAGATATCTTTGGAATAATTTACGCATTGCATGCAAATATTGTAGGGGGTTGCTTTGTGGAAGGTGGTTGGCTAAGAAATGCATTCAGGTGGAGACAATCTATTGGTCCGTGGGAAGAGAGGCCAGGACACTTCGGAGACTGTTGGCAGTACTGGACCGATGATGGTCTTGGATATTATGAATTTCTTCAGGTACAAGATTACACTGTTTCAACCTCTCTCTTTTTTCCTCGTCATCACCTAACATTATTGCATTTGAAATCCATACAAAAGCTTTCAGAGGACATAGGTGCTGCCCCAATCTGGGTATTCAACAATGGTAATACCTTTTAGGTTTGTCAGATCTTAGACACCATTACTCTTTTCAGCTGATGCAAAGTTCAATCTTAAAACTTAGGAATCAGCTACAACGATGAAGTTAATACTGCTACTATTGGCCCCTTTGTGAAGGTATGGCTCAAGTTCGCTAGTTCTTTGTTGAGCAGAGTAAACTTTTCTTTAATGCATTCGAAATGCAGATTACGATGATGCATCAGAACAATCGATGCTGTTGTGTTGTTTCATATCTTTCTGTTGAGAATGTATTTCTTGGTGAAAGAGTTTAGAGTTGAGAAAAATGCAAATTGTATTGTCAGTAGATAGTTGTTGTACATATATAAGGGGGCAGGAGCCTCATGTACACAGGAAACTATATGGACTCTTTGCACACACACACATCTGTACATGACATATTAATTAACATTGAGAATTTAAAACCTTATTATGTACACCCTGATTAATAATGAGACAACTACATAGGACCAGTCTGCATGAATGATTCCAAAATTCTTCCCATCTTAATTGTTACTGAAATATATGTTACGGTAGCTTGTTCCTTCACTCTCATGTCTGTATTTACCAAGCTTCTACATGATTTAGTATGTAAAATAGTAATAAACACCAAAATAGATACCATATATCTATATCTTTTGTGGACATAGTCATAGCTTGTAATCCTTGCTTGAGTATTGTGGAACTGTTTATCTTTGCACAGGATATATTGGACAGCTTAGAATTTGCTAGGGGCAGTGTAAATTCAACATGGGGCTCTGTTAGAGCTAAAATGGGGCACCCTAAACCATTTCCAGTCAAGTATGTTGCAATTGGAAATGAAGATTGTGAGAGAAAGTTTTACAAAGGTAAATTGATGGACTACTTTTTTACTGCATCTATTTTACAATATAAGTTGAATTACAGAGAAGGTAACATAGCTGGGTGATGCTATCAATAGAAAAGCAATTAACAGACAATTGATCACCCAATTTCTCTCTATGCTAGAAATCTAATTTTTTTATTGGGCTTAACCGCTCTGTGAATTTTTTGGCTCCACTCCACAAACTCCATAGTGTAGCAACCACCTCCATGTTTAGCAGCTAGGGTTAGGAGGGGTGCGGCTAGGGTTCTAGGACTGGGCGGTGCTCATATCATACGAAGAAAAGGACGGTAACAGGATAGAACATGAAGCGGTATGGGGAAGACTTGTGTAAGGCATAGTGGTGGCATGGCAATTGCCCCATACCACCATGATAACATTTGAAACTAATGTTTTTGGTGTAGCACTTGTGGAACTAAAAAATGTGGATTTAGCCTCTATAGATTCACTTTTTTCATGCAGTTAGAGTTCGTGGAGCTTGGGTGTTTAGCTTAGACCTGTGGGAGCGGTGTTCAAATTCAGTGGAGCTATTCTAGATAGGCCCTTATTCTGCGAGACTTCTGCATAAGAAAATGGTGATGTTATATCATACTTCATAAAAGAAGAGTATACTATTTTTTGTGCTGCCAGTGCTTACCAATTATACTTATTAAATTATTATAATGTATTTGGATACTAACATTTAATTTAAAACATTGTTATTTCCTCAAATTAGCATACTCCCTTCATCATGAAATAAAAGGTATTGAAGCATTCTAAATTTGTTTCAAATTACAAGGTATTAATTCTAAGTGAATTAACTCCCCCCAAAGTCTCAATCACATGCTTACCTGTCATTAGTGTCTACCATCAAGTTCAAAATATGATAAGCACAAAGTCTTTCTATAGTCAAGGGATGGTTACATGTGTCATTTGCATTAGCCCATAATCTGTTCTAGAATTTTTAGGATACATTATATATATCAGGACAGATGGAGTAGTAAATGCCACTTCTCTCTCACTTTCTTTATCTATGTTTTCTGTCTAAAACGTTCGCAAGGCTTGTATGCTTGTGTCCTTGAAAAATATAAATTTAAAAGTTGTAAAAAGAGAAAAAAAAACTAATAGGAACATAGTGCAATGTAAGTATTAAAATGACAAATTGTGAACTCATAAGGTCTTGAGGTGGTTTTCCCAAGGCAAAGCTAATAAATGTCAACCCCAATGCCATTGGTGTAGATTCGACCAAGGTCACTCGTTACAAGGTTGGCCATAGAGTCAATATTTGGTTAACACATGTTTCAACGACAGTTCCTAGTACCTGTGGTACCTTCTATATGGGGAAAAAAGTAAAAAAATAAACTGATCGTAACTCCCAATGGTAGTGCACAAATTCTAAATGAACTATGTAGCTTTGCAGACGAATCGTACTTTGAGTTACAAGATATTCTCTACTGCTATTGGACAGGTAATTACCTCAAGTTTTACAATGCAATAAGAGAGGCCTATCCAGACATTCAGTTGATTTCGAACTGTGATGGCTCATCTGTACCACTTGATCATCCTGCTGATATATATGACTTCCATGTAAATTTCTTTCTGCTCCATCCTTTTGTCTTATTTCCCAGTATATATTATGTGATTGTTCCATTCTTTGTCGTCTTGGCAATCTTGCCTTCTCTTAGAGTCCAACGATGCCTCTGTTTAGGTCTATGCTGATGCTAAGACTCTGTTTTCCATGAAGAACACATTTGACAAGTCACCCCGCAGTGGACCCAAGGTAAATCCCAATTTATTGGTTTCCAAAGCTCTTCATTTGTTGGGAGCAATTGAGATGAAATCGTGCTCCCTTTGTGACTAAATATGACGATCTTAAGTAGTGATTAGATTGATGCAATATTTAATGTTGCATTCATGTCTAGAAACAACTAAAATTTGGTTTATTTTGATCTTAAGTAGTGATTACTGTGATGTTTGATGTTACTTTCATGTCTGGAAATAACTAGAAACTTGGTTTATTTTGTTTTTATCTTGCTTATTTGTGCAACCCATATCATGGGTACATGGTAAATATCTTCCAAAACATGATATTGGTGCAGGCTTTTGTCAGCGAGTATGCAGTTTGGAAAACTGACGCAGGTAGAGGAACTCTTCTTGCTTCATTGGCAGAAGCTGCTTTCCTCACTGGACTGGAGAAGAACAGGTGGCATATATCTTCAAATATACAGTATTTAACAGGATTTTTATATGTGGGTTACTCGGTGACCACACCTGAATCTTGTTGTATCTGGTCATCTATTTCCCTGATCTGATGGAATTGGACCGGTTCTTGTTCCAGTGACAAATCATTTTTTTTATTGTGAAGCTAAGCTGATCTTTTGTTGGTTCTTGCCTTGCCAAATTTTTTTTTTTACCTTAGCAGTGATGCTGTTAAGATGGCTTGCCATGCTCCACTATTCGTAAATGACGATATTGAGAAAAAGTTAGTATTAATGGCTTTCTGCTTTCATTGTTGTTTCCTTTTGTTCTTGTTGATCTGGGTATTCAGTAATTGTGTTTGAAAAATATAATCAGGTGGAACCCAGACGTCATTGTCTTCAACACATGGCAGCATTACGGGACTCCTAGTTACTGGATGCAGAAGATTTTCCGCGAGTCTAGTGGTGCTATGGTTCATCCAACAACAATCAGTTCCGGTAGCGGTAGCTCTGCAAATTCTCTAGCAGCGTCTGCAATTACCTGGAAGGATTCAGAGAATCATTCGTTCCTAAGAATAAAGGCAAGTAAAATTTCTTGCTTTCATCCTAACCTTTATCTGCAGGATTCTGACTTGTACTAATTCCGAAAGCTCTTGTGCACTGCAGATTGTAAACTTCGAATCTGATGCTGCTAGAGTCACAATCTCCACAACTGGACTTGAATCTAGCATTGATGTGCTGCGATCGACCGCTACTGTTCTCACATCAACCAATGTGATGGATGAAAATTCTTTCATTAACCCAAACAAGGTGATCTACAATCTTGTCTTATCCATAAAATTACCTATCAGACATTCAGAGTTCGCTGTTGGTTTTGGTCTCCTTGCCCTGCTCATCTGAATCCAGATCCCTCTGTTATACAAATTGTGCAGATCGTGCCTGTCAAGAGCCAGCTATTCGAAGCAGGAGCGCAGATGCAAGTCACGCTGGCTCCTCACTCATTCACATCCTTCGATCTTACTCTGGCTCCGTCCAAACTTGTCACGTTGGCTGATGTCTGAGCAGGGATACCCAAATGTCAGTAATTGAGGAGATGCCAGTATAGTGGTAAAGAATTGTGTACTGTAACATCGATGATAAACTGAATAAAAATGACACTGCAATTCATGTTTTTATCTATTTGAAGATGCCATTAGAATTCCTACTTTTCATTGTTTGAAGATGCCACTAGAATTCATGTTTGCCTTTATTTGCGTTGACACTCAATTAGGCTCAGGCCAATTTTAGAATGGGCTCGTACCAATTTTGGATCAATCTAAGAAAAACTCTATGAAACGATATAAAAATAGTACCATATTAGTTTTTTAATGGGATAAGACCACCTTTACCCTATATAAAATATGGTTAACATTGTCGCTTGTGTTCAAACTAAATAAAATTAAGTAGTCTGAGTTGTTATCAAAGTCAATTGAACTTCTACGTAGTTTCGGTTGTCTAATAGCAAATGAACATAAAAAGGGAGACCATATAGATTCAATAGTTCAAACTAGGTACCATAAGGTAGTGCATAATTTCAGGAAAAATATTGAAACCGATTTTTCCTAATTTTAGGAGGCCATTTCTATGAATTTACAAAGATTAGATCAGATGTCATGATTTTAATTGCATTTTTTGAGAAAAAAATATTTGGATGTTTTTAAAAATTGTTTCTGTAACTTTTTTTTGATAAAGTTGAATTAGTTTGTTCAACTTTCAATTTAGTTCAATTTAGCTCCCTCATTACTACGTGGTGCCATTTAGATTGGCCAACTGCCAAATTCAAATGGTTTCAAAAGTTGGAGTAGGTAAAAAACTGGTTTTTAGATTCATGAGGACAAATCAGACTTTGACAAAAGTTGTGGAGGTCAAATGAAGATCGGATATGCTCTCCTCAGAGGCGTACAGACGGCCGGACGCTCCCGTTATCATGGGCCGCGACGGCCCGAACGGCCTAACTAGAATGTCCACGCTCGCCTTAGCTCTATTCGTCCGGCTCTCGTCTTCAGCAGTCTCCAGAAACATCATTTCCACTCGGCATGAGTTCCTGGCGTCGGTGCAATGTGCTCCACCATGGCTGCGCTGCCATTAGGCTCTCCACCAGCCCGGCTGGCCGCCATCCCCTCTCTGCACTACACCAGAGCGCTATCGCCCGCTTTCCACTACTACACTAGCATCTTTCACAGCCGCGTTGTAACCCACATCGCAGTCCAATTTCGGTCTCGGCAGTAAGCTATCGACGGTGATGGTCATAGCCTTCACCATCGCCATCTGGGACCGACTGTAATGTACACTAACACCACCGATTGGCTTATGATCCGTCCATGTTCAGTCGCATTGGAGCACGACCCGGCAGTGGATGTACACTAACACCACCGCATTGGCAAATGATCCGACTATGTCGGGACTATCAAAACCGTCGTGTGGGCACATCAACCACCTGTGTAGTGATCACCAGCACCGTCGCCTTGTACTTCGACCCGACTGTCAGCGGTGCAGGTTCACTGTTGGTTCGACGACCGAGACGCCTCGCTTCAGCATATGATCCGCTAGTGCAAAGTCATGGTCACCGTCGCCTTGCACCACGATCCGCCTTTGATGATCGTTTAATCGGTGTTGGGTTACTAAACGATTCGGTGGTGATACACTTTGATCCCTGCCGCATAATATGTATAGCGACGGTGTTGGACGTTTGCATCACCAACGGCGGTGGTGATAACAAAACAATAAACGGCCCTTAATAGCTTACTGAACACAAAGCATACAGATATAATCATTACATCCATAAACCATGTTCTTACAATAACAATGAACGCTTACCATAATATCTTTCTCAACTGATGTCCTAACACAAGCTGTACATAGGATTGTAAACTAAAGGTACTGATCTCTACAAGCTTACATAACGAAATGACATAGTTGTGCTCCTTTTATGTGGCACTCCTACTTGCTAGACAAAAATGAATATAATTAGTGCATCCTTCGAATTGGTAGGCTATGCACCATGGAACCCCTCTTCTTCCTCCTAGCCAATGCAGGAAAATTATTCAAAAGCACTCAGACTCCACCTGCACAAAGCAGCACAATTAATAATATTCAACACACCATTCCTTTAATTACGAAGCCCAAATTGGCCTATATATAGAATTCAAAACAACTACCTACCTGAACAAAGGCATGACGTACTTACAACAAAATACAGCATATGCACCTTTACTGCTCTGCTAATGACACCATGAACACAGAAACATAAGAAAGATAGTGAGGTCTGCCGCTCATACATAATAGTTTCTAAGTACTTCTAGGATGGTCGATGGCCGGGGGGGAGGACATGAACTTTACTGCGGTTCATGTCATATGCAAGCAGTGATTTGTCCTCCCCAACAAGGAAAATCAAATTCCATTCTAGATGAACTGCAATCACTCTATAGGCCGCATCATAAACCTCGGTACCAATTTCAATATTCTTCTTTCCAAATAGCTCTAGCGTGGTCACCTTATGCTTCGATGTCCATTTACTAGTACCATAGTCTTCAAGGATCCAGATTGAAAGTTCATACCTATTCAAAGTATTAGCAATACATAATGTGGCAGAAGCGCCTAAAATAACTCACTTCCGGAGGTGCTTGTCTTCCATTAGACACTAAACACCCCAAGAGTGAGCTAATTTAAACAGTTCTATCGAGCACACCCCATGGGAGAACCTAAAAATCCACATTTTTCAGCAGGATTATAAATGGGACAATAAAGCTTACAACATTTTAGCCATTTCTTACATCACTTTCTGTGCAACATCAGAGTATAATATTTATTGTTTATAACAGCGGAATATAACCATGTTATCAGAGTTTTAGCGGAAATAAAATCATTTAATGACAAGTTAAACATTAACATGATGATCTGTTATATACATCATAATATGTTATAAGTTTTTCCATTGTAAAACATTTTGGATGGAAGTTTCAAATAAACTCTATGTCCGCAATGTTAAAGAAATCCTCGCTGAGCCCACCAGGAGGTTTCCACACGCAAGTGTCAGCTCCACATGTTCCTGTCACCTGCCATAGGGTAGAACAAACTCTGAGTACTGAATTATACTCCGTAAGACTTACCCGTCAGGAGGAAAGAAAAGACTCCAAGGATATGCAAGGCTATCTGGCTTTTGGTTTTATTGCATCTGCAGGAAGCGTTACTAAGCGTTCATCCTTATATTCAATTTCATTAGCAGTCATCATTAGTTCATTAACTAACCATTCTATGTAAGCACCTATGCTACTTTAAAGCAGGTGGTAAAAAATCAGAACCATTTTATCATCTTTTATATTCCAGTTCTTACTACGGTGCTAGATCGTAGATAAGTCTTACCGTATTACACGGCGATTCACGAACCAATGTATCCCAGCTGGGTACTCCGAAACACATGCCCCGTTTGTACCCCAGCCACAAGCAGGACCAACCCACCACTCTCCTGTCAAGAGGTATAGGTCCCCGTCCAAACTTACTCCAAGCCCCCACACCTGAGTCCGGACTCAGTGTGGTGCTTAGACCTCCACCATCCCTGCCTCCAATCAATCAGTCTAGAAAGAGCCGGAACCTCCAACAAGAGAGCAACGAGCCTTCCCGCCTGCATAAGCAAGTATGTGCTCAGGATAATAAGTCTGTGACCTGACTAGAATCTAGTGCAACGGACGGTCCTCAATCAAGATAGGCGGAACAAGTGCAATCCGAGCCTCGCTCGAATGCCAAACCAAGTCCAGATCCAAAGTACCATTCCGTCCGATCTCCAATTATCATTCATATATATTCCATGTGATAGTAATATAATAACAACAATAATATATTTCCTATCTCTCGCGAGTGACAGGTAATCACTCGACTTCTACCGGATCCTATAGCATAACAATCTACACGATCCTGATATACTAGTATGACTCATAGGATAAGTATATATATATATATGCAAGTGGTTTTCATTCAACTCCTTAAAACTTAATGCACAAGCATAAGATAAAGTGTAGAATAATAGGGGTTATGCACCGAGGCTTCCTAGGTAAAATATAACCAAGTTAGCTTTTCATCATGGTGGCATGACCATCAAGTCACCATCTGCTTCCGCTACTCAAGACGACTCTGTGATCCAACATCGCTCCTATCATGAAATACGTGGATGCAACGCAGGGACGTAAATAATCAACAACAACCGCAACTCTAAAATACGATTACATGTTGCAAGCTAACGGGCTAGCTCTAATGACTAACATACTAAGCTATGTATCCATGTTGTCGGGCGAGGCATTACTTCCCAATAAGTATTTTAGCTACAAAATCCCCAGATATAGCCTTAATTCATTTTATTGATTTAATATATTTTCAAATCAGGGCTTAATAGGTATTCTAGCAAACTAATAATTCGGGAGCTACAAAAATTATAGAAAGCACATAATAATATTGTGAAGCTACTGTAAAATTTTCAAAGCTAACACTATCATTATTTTGCCACAAAATTCCTACAAGTTCATACTTTAATAATTTTAGAGCATGTTAAAACATTTAAAGCATCCGTGAAATATTTTAGAACCATGTGAACCAAGTACACTAGCAGGTAGATCATGATTTTAGAAGCTTAACAAAATTGGTTTCATAATTTTTGGTCCACTACACAAATTTATATTGAATTTACAATTTACCTGAGAAACTAAATTAGAAAATGCCTATAAAAGAAAAAGAGGCCGGCAGCAACCATATCGGCCCCAGCGGCCCACGCAGACGTGGCTAGTGCGGTAGCTGGCCTAGCAGCGGCCCAAGGTGGGGGAGCCCATGCCCGCGCCCTGCTTTTTGTAAAATAGCCCCTAGCCTACCTGAAATATTATGCGTCGCCTCCAAGTACTATTGCACTAGAGAAACCCTTTGCAGAGAGCACCCCCCAACAAACCTATCTTCACAACAAGCCGGTCCTCAACACCCCCCCATGCGCGCACGGCAGCACGACTCCAACCATCGCAGCGTGCCCTCGCCAGCCATCAGA